AATGGAGGTGTACCTGCTTTGGGACTCGTTTGAACTTGAAAAAGGGTTCGTTTGCCCGTGGGGACCAACTCGCTCCATTGTTAAGGTCTTAACGGGCGTCAATGAAATAATTCAGCCAACAAAGTCCAGAATTCAAGATCACCAAAAATTCATGGACTAGCACACGAAAATTGGTAAAATGGGGGTTTACCTGCTTTGGAGATCGTTAGAACTTGAAAATGGGCCCATTTGCCCATTGATACAAATTGAATCTATTACTAAGGTCTTAACAGACGTCCATGAAAATATTTGGCAAAAAATGATCTAGAATTCCGAATCACCAAAAATCATGGACAATAGCACACGAAAATCGGCAAAATGGGGGTTTACCTGCTTTGGGGCTCATTTGAACTTGAAAATGGGCTCGTTTGCCCATGGGTACCAACTGGCTTTATTGCTAAGGTCTTAACGGACATTCATGAAAAATTTCAACAAAAAAAAATTTGGAAATTCGGATCAGCAAAAATTCATGGACTAATAGCACACGAAAATCGATAAAATGGGGGTTTATCTGCTTTGAGGCTCGTTTGAACTTAAAAATGGGTCTGTTTGCTCGTTGGGGCCAACTGGCTCAATTACCTAAGTCTTAATGGACGTCCATGAATTTTTTTGGCAAAAATAAATCCAAAATTTTGGATAAAAAAAATTCATGGACTATAGCACATGAAAATCGGCAAAATGGGGGTTTATCTGCTTTGGGGCTCATTTGAACTTGAAATAGGCACGTTTGCCCATCGGGATCAACTATCTCCATTACTAAGGTCTTAACAGACGTCCATAAAAAAAAATTGGCAAAAAAAAACTTGAAATTTTGGATCACCAAGAATCCATGGACTATAGCACACGAAAAATCGATAAAATGGGGGTTTACCTTCTTTGGGTTCGTTTAACATGAAAATGGGCCTGTTATCCCGTAGGGACCAACTAGCTCCCTTGCTAAGATCTTAACGGACGTCCATGAAAAATTTTGGCAACAAAAAAAATCCAGAATTCCGGATCACCAAAAACTCATGGACTATAGCACAGGAAAATCGACAAAATGGGGGTTTACCTGCTTTGAGGATCACACTTGTTTTTGTGTTTCTTTGTTCAAGTGTAATTTAGCTTTTTGTCATTCTATAAGTCACTTATTTATTGTAACTTGAGCTCACAATAACCTAATGTTTTGTTCTTGGCACAAATCATAATTTATTTTGTACGCCTGTCAAAGAGGCAGATCAAATACTTCTCAGAAAATATACCTTTTATGTGTTTTGTTTGATTGTTTTCACCTGAGACGTGTTCTAGAAAGCACTGGAGTGTCCATTGATCTTATTTGCGTATCCATTCTGTTTAAATCTGGTGATTGCATCTGCGGTGCACCAGGCTCACCTATGTTTTAAGCTAAAAAAACACTCACCCGAGTCCCATGGATCCCAACCTAAACCATTTATATCAACAAGTCTGTCTCAAATCATAATAACAACCTATCCCAGGCATCAAACAAGAAACGGGACGCAAATATTCAAAACAAGAGGTGTCACATCATCTTAAATAGGTTGTTGGACCAATGATATCTGTCACGCCCGGAGACTACCCCCGAGACGCGGATACGAGACCTAGGACCACAAGTGATCCCAAGTTAACCATGCTGGCATGATCATGAGCATACTAAAGATAATAAACTGATGCGGAAGCTAAGTCATAAATAAAATGAAAAGATGGGGAATACCCATATACTATAACTGAGATAAATGAAAACTAATGAGTTTAATACAAAGAAGATATTAACTCAATACTAAGATGAATCTAATTATGTCTGAAATAAGCCTCTAAACTGACTAGAGATGTTAGGACATGCCCCAACTAGGTCTAGCAAAACTGAAACTAAAAGACTTAAAATAATACTGAAAAGAGACTCATGACTATTGTCCTCGGAAAATGACGAATCACCACTGATTCTGCTGAACTGGAGATCAGGAACCGATCTAAGCGTGATCTGGATGCTGAGAACCTGAACCTACATTACGAGAAGATGTAGGGCACGTATGTGTCAGTACTTGAAAGGTACTGAGCATACAAGATAGAGTAAAGCTGAAATAACATATAACTGAACAAAGCAGATAAGCAATGATATAATATGAACATGATATAGATACTAAAATACTGAATACTGAGCTAACTGATGCAATGACCAAATTTATAACATGCTGAGACTGAATACTGACTGTACTGAAATATGGTCAATGCAATAGAGTCTGACTGAACTGTGGGAGCTACTAATAACCGACATAAAACCACATGAGCTAAATGTGGAGTCCGATGTATACGCCCCATTGAGAGGACCCAACTATACCCTGCGAGAGGTATAGAGGCATGCTGGCGTGATCACTAAACTGATGTTGCCCATAGAAGGGACTTACACCTACGTGGCTCGTAGGTCTGGGACTATGTGGGTACGCTGAACCCTAGTCCAACTCGGTATTATGCTACTCCCAATGAATTAAATGGTTAACTGGTTATGACTGAATTTCTGTAAAATACTGAATAGCTCAAAATTGAACATGCTAACTGAGAATGCAACAATTAATGTGATAATGATACATTAATAACTGAGGCATGTATAATTGAATAACTGAGATATCTGACCTAGCATGTATAATTCATGAACTAAAGAAATACAAAGCTAGGGTTCTGAAATTCATGCGAGAAACGATGTAATAACATGATAATCTGATTTTGGAATATTTTAAATAACTAATTCATGATGATCTGTTGAAATTCTAGAAACCCTAGGTCTGTTCATAATCATGGAATCAAGAATCCGACTGAATTCTAGGGACCTAATAGGTGAAAGTAACCCACTAGTGAAATCCCACATACCTGGTGACGAATTCCACGGAGAAACCTTTCGATTTCGGGGCTAGAACTGAAGGAAACTTGTTGCTTTCTTAAACTAGGGTTCTTGACCTTTTTCTCCACTCTTGCTTATAATTTTCTAAGCTTTGATTAATGATTTTGACTAAGGTAAGTTCTAGTTATGTTTCTAGGCTTAAACTGACTAAAACCTTGTGATTTAGGGTTTAAACGACGTATCTTAGGGGTCCAACGAAATAGGAAAAGACCAAAAGACCCCTGACTTAATTGCTGTTGAAGCGACCGACGGACGGGACTGACGGGCCGTAGGTCAATTGACGGTCCGTCGATTGGAGTCGTCGGTTGAGTTTGCCCGACAGGGCTTCACTAAAAAAAGCATAACTCTTTACTCGGAGGTCGGATTTTAGCAAACTCAGTGGTATTGGAAAGAGGATTCAATTATCTATCATGTCATAGCTCATGGGACACATAATTCCTTTTTTGCTAAAAGTTATGACCATCTGAAGTTGACCCATCGACTAACTGGCCACTGACCCTCATCTACGGTCAGACCTACGGACTGTGGATCGAATGACGGTCCGTGCTGGTCAACCGTAGTTCAGGACTGAAGCTAGGCTTTAGGGACATCGATCCATGGACACGAACCACGGTCCGTGACCTGACTTACGGACCATAGGTCCGGCCGTGGGTCAACACTTGGCCGAATTTCTGGCTGAGTTCTGGGGGAGTTTGCTGACATGAACCATGGACCTGCAAGACGGACCGTGGGTCCTCCTACGGTCCGTGGATGGTGCCCGTGAATGCCACCTGCAGCACCAAAAATCTGCAATCTAGTCTATTTTCGGATACGGGATGTTACAATATCAAACAAATCCAACCTACATTAGTTCATCGGTTACTTATTGTTGGAAATATGATTCTAGCTAGTATCTCAAGAGGAATTATTCTTTTTCCTATTATACTTGAAAGAGAATATTATTTTATGTCTTAAATATTTTCTCTCCATAAATAATATTCTATTTCCATTATTATTATTATCCTTTAATTAGTCATTATTTTCTGTCATAATATGGTTGTTACCAAACATCTCTTTGCTGAAATGAATTGCCTTCAATTCATTAATTGTGTTCAATGCCTTTTATGGCTTTTGACTATTTCAACCATTGACATATTAGAGAGGTTACTAGTTTCCTATATAAATCTAATTCTTACTGATGGTGAGTAAGAGTGGACACAAGATAACAATTCTTCTTTTAATATATTTTTATGCTGGATTTTCTTTCTATTGAATCTTTGTTAGTTTCTAGCTCCTAGTTTTATACTGGAAGAGCTTGTTGAATCCTGGGGGATACACCCATACCGGGTGAAATATCCTTAAGTACAGTGTCTTTCGGCACGCCTTAAGCTATGAGAATTTCCTATAAGAGTTATTGGTGAAGTACAAGCTTTGGTGAATTCGGTACAACTGTTCGTCAAGAAGATATTTTCCGTAAGATTTACAACAATCTTAAGGATATTTTAAACTTTGTTCTTACGAAAAATACTATCTCCCTCTCCCAAAAAATAATATTGAAAGGATTGTATCATTCAAGCCCTTTGTTCAAATTTCCTCGTGATGTTTGTCTATTGCTTGGAACGTTATTTACAATAGTGCCGTGCCGATTAAAAAGAAATTCCTTAAATTTGTTAAAGTATTTTTTAAAGTGAAAAGGGAGGCAAAAAGTTGAATTTGGATAAAAGTCTCTCTCGGGGCACGTTAGTGTGCACTAACTTGCACCTTGCCTAAAATAGGGAGGGGATGAGCGTGATGAGCAACGCAAAGACTGCGAGAGGAGGAGATACACCATGGGTTAGCTAGCAGCACCACAACAGTACAAACAAATAGGAGGCAAACACATGATGAAGTGCAACTGATTACACCAGATGGACCACCACCAGCTCCGATGACTGCTACAAGCAAGGAAAAGGGGAAAGTAGTAGTAGATGAACAATGGCCAGAGTTGTCAAAACAAAGAGGAACTGGATCTGGAAAACCATAGATCGTACTAGGAAGCAATGGAACAGTAACACAGGACAAACCAAACAATACGCAGACGAAGCTAGAAATGAATGGAGAAGAAGTAAAGAAGCCGTGGATGAATCTAAACTACATACCACCAGTGATTGTGGATGGGGAAAAAGTAGTGGAAATACTGCCTGAGGATGTATCTCAAGATGATGAGAAATGGGCTTCATCACTAGTAGTATATGTGGTGAGAATAACTCCATCTATTGGAGCCATGGAGAGGTGTATAATGGGACAAGGAAACTTCTCCACAAAACCTATAATATTATATCATATATATGGCTACTTTGTTGTGAGATTTGCCAGTGAGGAAGAGAGGGATATGGTGATGTGCTCAGGGACTCACCACTTACTGAGAAGGCCTATCATAATGAAACCATGGGTTCTGGAGTTCAATTTCAAGGAGGAGATTCTTACTACCATTCCACTATGGGTCAAGATACCAAATCTACCTCTTAATTATTGGAATTCAGTTGTCTTGAGTAAAATAGGTAGTAGTGTGGGGAAGCCATTATATGCAGATGAATGTACAACTCAAACTAGTAGAATCTCTTTTGCCAGAATTTTAATGGAAGTAGATGTAACTAGACCCCTAACAAAGGTAATTAAAATACAGGATCCAAAAGGAAAAATAGTGGAGCAGAAAGTTTGGTATGAATGGAAACCAATATTTTGCCAGAAATGTCTACAAGTGGGGAACTCATGTGTGGATAAACAAGCTGCACCTGTACAGATCCAGAAGAAGAGTCAGGGACAAAGGAAAAGGAAAGAATGGATACCAACCACAAGCAAGGCACAAGGAACTAGGTTGAGGATAACAAATACAAAAAATTAGATCATGAGGAGGATGAAGCAACACAGGGACAAGAAGAATGGCATACTATGAGGTATAGAGCATCTAGCAGAAGAGACTCTAGGAACAGTCAAGATACAAAAGGAGGACAGGGATCTGAATCAGGGGTATTGATATATGAGGAAGGACACACAAGTGGAGAAGGAGGTGGTGGAATGGAGATGACAGTTATACAACCATAAAAAACATGATAGTAACTTGAAATGTGAGGGGATTTAACCAAGAGGTGAAACATAAGGAGCTAAGATTATTTGTTAGAAGGAATAAAGTGAATCTAATAGTAGTATGTGAACATAGAGTAAGGCAAGATAGAGAAAAAGTTATTATCAATAAAAGTCTACCAGACTGGGAGTGGTGCTCAAATGCCAACACAAATGTAAGATGAAGGTTATGGGTGGTATGGAATTTCAAGGAAATAAGCTTCACAAAAGTGGCAGATACAGAAGAATACATACATGGTTTGGTGGACATAAACAATACACAGTTTCAGTTTACTGCTATGTATGGACTACATACTATAAGTACCAGAATACCATTATGGACAACAATTCATCAGATGAGTAGTCAAATTAATAAGCCATGGTTGATTATGGGGGATTTTAGAAGCCAAGTTCAAGATGCAGAAACAAGAGATTTCAAAGAATATGTGATTGATTCTAATCTAGTGGAACTGCAGACAGGAGGAAGGAATTTCACATGGACTAATGGACATATATATAGCAGAATAGACAAAGCTATAGTTAATGCTGAATGGGTGAACAAGATGGCAACACAACAGGTCATTGTTATGGAGCCTTTGTTTTCAGATCATTCTCCTCTAGGTTTGATAATGGAGGAAAAAAGAAATACAAAAAAGAGACCTTTCAGATTCTATAATTGTATAGGACAACATCCAGAATTCAGGGACAGAGTGAAAGATGGCTGGCAAATATTAGGTAGAGGTATGAAAGGGGTCTGGAGAAACCTGAAAAGGGTAAGGAAAGAGATGTAACATTTAAACAACAAAGAGTTTATGGGAGTTTCTGAGAAAGTACAAGAACTTAGAAGAGAGCTCATAGATAAACAAAGAAGTATGAGAGTAGGTCCAAGTACACAAGGCAGTATTGATGAGGAGAAAGCATTAAGAACAAAATTGACAAAGTGGAGTAAAATTGAAGAAGATATATATAAACAGAAGTCCAGAATACAATGGCTCAAACTGGGGGATGATAACAATGCTTATTTGTTTGCTAGTATGAAAGCTAGGAAGGCTCAGAATCAGATCAACATGCTAACAAAAGAGGATGGAACTGTCATAAGGGAAGCAACATATGGCACAAAGGAGGCTGTGGGGTTTTATAAAAAGTTGTTAGGACAGTATAACAATCACATGTAAGCTACTGAACCTGAGATACTAAAAGATGGACCAATACTTACAAGAGAACAACAATTGCTTCTCATTCAACCATTCAAGAATACTGATGTGAAGTCAACATTAATGAGCATTGGGGACTCTAAAGCACCAGGAGAGGATGGTTTCAATTCTTACTTCTTCAAAAAAGCTTGGCCAATCATAGGGGAGGAGGTAACAAAAGCTGTTTTACAATTTTTTTCATACTACTGAAATATATGCCCCTATAAACAGAACCTCTACTACACTAATTCCAAAGGTGAAGCATCCCACATCTACAAAAGAATACATGCCTATTTCTTGTTGCACTACCCTGTATAAGATCATTTAAAAAATGCTCACAAATAGGCTTCATAATGTGATTAATTATCTAGTTGATCCAGGACATGCTGCTTTTGTACTTGGTAGAATGTTGACTGATAATGTACTCCTTAGTCATGAACTGGTAAAAGGGTATGGTAGAAAAGGGATCTCCCTAAGATGTATGTTCAAGATAGATATGCAGAAGACCTATGACTCTTTGGAGTGGCATTTTTTGGAGGAAGTTCTAGTTGGTATGCAGGTCCCTCAAAGGTCCATAGGATGGATAATGAGTTGTGTTAGGACTGTGTCTTATTCTATATTAATCAATGGATGTCCTAGTGCAACTTTTAAATCAAAGAGAGGAGCGAGATAAGGGGATCCTCTATCCCCTTATTTGTTTGTCTTGGCTATGGATTACCTCACAAGATTGCTGAAGACATTGAGAAGGAACCCAAATTTTAAGTAACATCCTAGATGTCACAGACAACACATAATCCAATTAAGTTTTGCTGATGACCTTTTGTTGTTCAGTAGAGGAGATGCATCATCAACTACCCTCATGTATGAGTGCTTCCAACAGTTCTCAAAGGTGTCTGGACTCATAGCAAATCAGACCAAGAGCTGTGTGTATTTTGGAGGTGTGTCAGCAGAAATGCTGAAAGTAATCCTACATAATACAGGTTTTGTTAAGGGACTACTTCCATTTAGATACCTTGGAGTCCCTTTGAGCTCAAGGAAACTATCAGTAGGGCAATGCCAACCTTTAATAGACAAGATAATGGGCAGAATTACAACATGGACTGTCAAATTCTTATCATATGCAGGCAGGTTGCAATTGGTAAATAGTGTGCTAATATCTATGCAAGCTTTTTGGTCACAAATTTTCCTGCTACCAAAACAAGTTCTGAAAAGAATAGAAACAATGTGTAAAAGGTTTCTATGGAATGGTGAGACACAAGTTAAAGGGAAGGTACTTATAGCATGGGACATTCTTTGCTGGCCAAAAGTAGCAGGAGGACTGAATGTTATTGATATCTACATGTGGAATAAAGTAGCTACACTAAAGCACTTGTGGGATCTAAACAAGAAGAAAGATAAACTGTGGATTGTATGGGTGCGCATACCTTTTACCTCAAAGGTAGGAAACCATGGGAAGTAATAGCAAACCAGGCTTCCTGGATAGTGAGGAAAATTCTGCAGGCAGGGCATTGGCTTGAAGAAAAGGTCTTGCAAATTGCAGAAATCATGGAGACAGATGAGTTTAGTATCAATACAATGTATAAGAAGCTAAGGGGTGAATATATCAAGGTTCCCTGGAGGAGAATGACCTGCAACAACCAGGGGAGTCCTAAATGGATCTTTGCACTGTACTTGGCTATTAATAGAAGACTCTACACCAGAGATAGACTGGAAAGATTGGGGGATCACAAATGATACATTATGTCCACTCTGCATGGAAGCAAATGAAACCCACCAGCACCTATTCTTTATGTGTATCTTCTCAAGAATGTTGTGGTAAAAACTCCTGAACTGGCTATCAATTAATAGAGCTAGTAATGGATGGACTGAGGAACTGAATTAGGCTGTAGAGCATGCTTCAAGTAAAACAATAATAGCAGAGGTATACAAAATGGCTTTAGCAGCAACAATCTACTACATCAGGCAAGAAAGGAATTACAGGATCTTTCAAAACAAGGAGAGGAACATAGAGATGATAACTAGAGAAATTATCCAAGGCATACATTGTAGAGCTAGTATGATCCCTAGAATTATAGGTTTTATGCAAAAGCTAAACTTCTATCTTTAGAATAGTACTAGCGAGAAGGAACTTTTTCTTTTTGAATTAGATGGACTCTGAGAGTGGAAACTGTCCACATTTAGAGTTTCCAATTTTGTACATATTGCAAATCTGGTAATAAAAAATATTACAGTTACCAAAAAAATTGTGTTAAGGTTAATTTTTAAGATGGTTAATGTATGCAATGAAAACAAAAGAAAAAGGAAGAGAAAGAAAGGTTTAGTGGAATTCCAAGTGAAAATTTTGGTTGGCCCAAAGGTGCCCACTTAGTTGAGGTTAATGTTTCTCACTTAGATGTTGCTCGTTTTGGACTGAAGAGGCAAGACAGATAAATCATTATTGCAGAGAATGATAAATATTTGTGAGTTCAAGCTAATAAGGTATGTGATGATATTATATGTTCATATATTTATTGAATTTGTGTGTGGCAAATTGAGTCATCATATCTTTCTATGTTTGAGAAGATTCGAGGAAATGATAATCCCGCTAAGTAAAAATAAATGTGACTAAGCGGATGATGTAAATTGTTGTGGTCATTTATCAAGCGAATCTTGTGGCTAATATGTGAAAGTGAGAAATTTGGTGTTAGATTTTTGTAATGTTGAGTAAATTTATGCTAACTAAAATTATTTTGGGTTCCCAAATTAGAAAAGAAGAAAAAATTATATATGTTGGTGATTCTAGAACTACTCAAGTTTTTGGAATGGAAAAGCTCTTCTTATTAAACTCACATATGAAAATATTGAAGTTATTTGAGATGGTGCACGATTTTAATATTTGTGCTAGATTGATGTGCCCGTATTCCTATGGGACCAATTGGCTCCATTGCTGAAATCTTAACGGACGTTTATGAAAAAATTAGGCCAAAAGAAATCTGGAATTCCAGATCACCAAAAATTCATGGACTATAGCACACTAATATCGGCAAAATGGGGATTTACCTGCTTTAAGGCACGTTTGAACTTTACAATGAGCCCATTTGCACGTCGGGACCAACTGGCTCAATTATGAAGTCTTAATTGAGTTCCATGAAAATTTTCGGCAAAAAAAATTAGGAGTTTACCTACTTTTGGGCTCGTTTGAACTTGAAAATGGGCTTGTTTACCCGTCATGACCAACTAGCTCCATTACTAAGGTCTTCACAGACGTCCATGAAAAATTCCGCTAAAAAAATACAAAATTCTGGATCACCAAAAATTCATGGACTATATCACATGAAAATCAGTAAAATGGGGGTTTACTTGCTTTGAGGCTCGTTTGAACTTCAAAATGGGCCTGTTAGCCCGTCAGGACCAACTGGATCCATTACTAATGTCTTCATGGACGTCCATGAAAAATTTTAGCAAAATAAAATCAGGAATTCTGGATCACCAAAAATCCATGGACTATATAGCACACGAAAATCACCAAAACAGGGGTGTACCTTCTTTGGGGCTCGCTTTAACTTGAAAATGAGTCTGTTTGCCCGTCGGGACCTAATGGTTCCATTTCTAAGGTCTTTACGGACGTCCATGCAAATATTCGGCAAACAAAAATCCAAAATTTCGGATCACCAAAAATTCATGGTCTAACACATGAAAATAGGCAAAATGGAGGTTTACCTACTTTGGGACTCGTTAGAACTTGAAAATGGGACCGTTTTGCCGTCGATACCTACTAACTCCATTACTAAGGTCTTAATGGACGTTCAT